ACAATTGGATAGTATCATCTGTCCTACAGAATACGTGTAGCCCATGGTCTATTATTATTATTATTATTGTTCCCTTGGGCTCCTAGTCGAACATAGGGCTTCAACTGCATGTCTCCATTTGCTTCTGTCTTTTGCTGTACTTTTCACCTGCATCCATGTTAGTCCATATTGTTTCAACTCCTCTTCACACGATCTCCTCCATGTCACCCTAGCACCGACGTCCCACTTGCCCCTTCCCTTTCGACCCTGTTCCACTCGAGCAATGGCCTGACGCGCGATGTCACCAACCGGCCTCCTCAGCCACGAGTGTCCAATCCATCTCCACTTTCTCCTGCATATTTGTTGGCCGGCGATTGGTTCCTGTTTTGTTTGCTCCCATAGTTTCTTGTTGGTGATTCTTTCCGGCCCGGCCATCTGATCTTCAGTATAGATATAGCGAAGACAGTTGTTAGTTGATAAAGGTCTGCAACAGGCCGTTGGAAATATTCTTTGTGACCCGCCCCCGCCAAGTTTCTGATCCGTATAGAAGAACTGACTGACTTGACGTTTGTATTGAAAATCCGAATTTTGTTGGTGATGCTGAGTGATGAAGATTTCCAGAATGGTTTCAGGTTGATGAATGTGTTTCTCGCCTTCCCGATTCTCACTCGATTTGACACCCTCGTCCGTTCCGACTTCCTGTAATTGAGACAATGCTCCATCCCTAGATAAGTGAATGAAGTAACTAAACTCTTTCAAATCCCTCCCGTTGATGGTGATTGATGCTGAATGTTGCTGTCGCTGTTGTTGGTTGGTTATTCTCATCATCTTCGTCTTGTCAATGTTCACTTGGAGTCCTGTCTTCTCTGGCTGCTTCTTCGACCAGTTTGTCGGTCGGTTTTCGCTTATAAGTCTTCGATTTTCTGTGACATCAAACATAAATCATCCACGCGCGAAATCCAGGTCTTCTAGGTTCTTCATGTTGGTCCAGGATATCCCTGTATTCTCGTTTCCCACTGTCTGACGCATAATCCAGTCAGTCCACCACAATTAGGAATATCATTGGTGATAGTAAGCACCCTTGTCTGACTCCTGTGTTTACCCCAAACGCCTCGCTGAGTTTTCCGTGGTGGATCACTTGACATGTGCCGTGGTCTGGTACACTACAAAATCTCTTCCAGATAACTGAGTCCAATAAAAAAACATAACCTCGAGCAAACCAAAAATCCATAGAAATGGAAGGAAATAACCACGGCACATTTAAATGACATCAAAAATTTCAGTTTATTCCCGCATAATCCATAAGATGGGAAAATATCAATACAACGACAATTGTACATTTTATTTCTAAATTCACAATCCTAAAATTGCAATGAATATTGGTGAATATATTGGTGCGAACTGGATTACAAAGGAAGGAAGAAGACAGTGAAGTGTAAAAACTATGCATTTTGAAAATAAAAGAAAGCATAGTACACACACACACACTTGTTAATTTGACTTCAATCACAAATTTTCCATTCAACTAAACAACAGACAATCAGTGGCATAAAAAGCATTCATTTAGCACCTTAATAATATCGAGGAGTTTCAAGTGATCAGAGGAAAGTGGGTATTAAGCAGCCATATACAACTTGGTGCAATGGAACATCTACTGAGTGAGTTATACCATCATCAAAAGAAAATGGATGATTATAAATAAATTTTTAGAAGAAAATAAACACATAATATGAATACACAAGTCAAGAAGTACTACAAAACAGGATGGTAGCACACGATTTGAACTAATATCCTTAAAACTGATAACACGCTATATCCTGCTGAATTGAACATGATACGACCAAACAACCCCAACTAAAGTTTACGTTTGACTACATGACTTAGACTCTCAGTTACGGGATAAATCAAACATTCAAAGGTATTCCATATGTGGCACAGCGGTTAGGACTCTCGCCGACCATGCACATGGTCCGGGGTTCGAGCCCACGCCGACGCACACCTGATATCTATGGTCAGCCTGCGAAATTCGGACTATCGATATCCACGCTGAAAATGTCATACTTGTACCAAAAATACGGTGTGGAATTAAGCTGTAATCAAAAATAAAATTTTAAAAAAAAGTGATGTTGCAATCATCTGCGTTAGCGTATTTATTACAAATCATTCGACATGCATTCACCAGTTTTTTTTGTAATAAGTCGTTAACAGAAGCCACACACACACAAACACTCTGAATACCTTCGATATAATGTCAACAAAACTCAGAATTCGAAGAAATACTACTCGTTTGACAAAAATAGTTTGTACCTACGAACCTAAATGAAAATGAATTTACACCACATTAACAAGAAAAACAAAATGACTCTAAATTTTTAGCAGTATAAATCAAACTATATGATGTGAACCTAAGAATTTTTTTACCGTCACGTTCCCCAGTGGAACATAGGGCTTCAATCTAGTGGCCTGAAGTTTCTGTAGCAGTGTTTATTTTACAGGATGGGGTTGCTAGCCTCATGCCCAACCTTTCCTCTTTACCAGCAATATTTCTGGCTCAGAGAGGTAAAGGAGTGCGTCGGCCGGGGATCGAACCGCGGAGCATGTGCATGGTCGGCGAGCGTTCTAACCGCTATACCACCGATGTGAACCTAAGAATTAAAGAGTGCTAACTTTTGTACTGGAGGGGTAACAAACCTCAAAAACGGAGTGACTACTTAAAGCAGATAAGAAAGAAACAGAACAACTCATAATAAGAATTTTTATGTGTAGTAATCTTAGTGACAATCATATGTGAATTACTTTCCAACTAATAAATAGTTCATACTTATGAAATCTAGGACATATCTATGATAAACGAGTAAATCCATGCACTGTGAGAGGTTATACACAAACCTAGACAATAGGAGAATCGATTTTTCATCCAAAATCTCTGTTATGACTGCGTAACAGTAAATGATTTCAAAAAGCCAATGTTTTCACCAATATTCAATATGGAGTTTAGACATTCGCAAACTGATTCTTGGACGCTAAAATAGCTTGGAAGGATATCCGATTTTAGAAACCCTTAATAAAGCGTAATTTCACTTTCTTATTTTTAATACAGTATTTTAATACCGTATTTTTAATACTGTACACTACATTTAAACAAAAGATAGAAAAGGAAACTCATAAATGTTTATTTCTCAAAAACACATCAATTGCTTGGCAATTTACACTTCTAAACAATATAATCGTCGCTTCTGAGAATTTTAATAGATGGATCATTTTTAGGAATGATTGATAAAGCTTTCATAATTCACAAGCAGTGACTAGATACGATACTACACCACTTTATTAAGGTAAAAAATCCATCAGAAGGGAGATTTCAAGCAGTACACTTATGTTGCAAAAATCCCATTGCTAAATACCTTTTAATAAACTTAGGAAAACTAATGCTACTTAAGTAGGTATCTGATAACTTGTATCGTTAGTATGCAGTCAACTAAAATCCTCTGATTACAAATGAAACACCATATGTGAATACTGCAGTAACCACCAACCAAGCTAAAAGACAGAGTTAAGTGCCATGGTTTAACGACAATAATATAAACATATAACTATGTGTATAAACATTTCCTCATAGTTCCATAAAAGGTAGAAAACCCAAGATGACATAACTGTAGTCACTATTATTTGAACACGACTTTTATAAATTCACTGTTTTAAAAAGGCTGTTTAGAACATTTCTTATGACAAGTAATAACAATTCTTACAGCATTTTGTTGATGAAGTAATGAAATTCCTTATTTGAACTGATATACCGAAAGCTCAATATTTGATGCATGACCTTTATACGTTAGGAATAATGTTACAAAATAATAAGTATAAAAATGAATGGACTTTTCATGTACTCATCATACTAGCTAAATAGTTAACGAAACTACAATACGGCAATCGGTCTCCTTCACTAGTTACACGACAATAGGAGCACACACAACGCAAACTGAATAGATGGTTAAGTATAAATTATATGCGCAGCTTTGAATGGACAGGATACCTGATTTCTAGATAAAATATCATGATCAGTTGCATAAAAATGTCTTTCAACTGTTTTAGTTATACATCAATAAATTCTGGTGTCCACCACCTCTTTTGAAATTTTAAAATGTTGAAAAACAATGAAGTATTATCACAATGTGTTATAAGTCCCAAATAACACTTTATTTCTATTTGCCTCTAAATGCCCTACCCTACAAGTTCTATATATAACTTTATTATGACGAAAGGAGGAAGTTTAAGTTATCACAATTTGAAATTATCGTACTCCGTAAAGAATATCAGTATTTATGGTCATTAGAAAGGTGAAAAAGTGATTTTATTATTATTAAAAGATGCCACTTACGCCACAGAAGAAAAACGGAAACCTTACATAGACGTGCTTTTTATTTTTTTAATTTTCACGATCAGTCTCTTTGCGCTTCTGTCGCAACTGAACAAAGCCGAGCGCAACCCATTCACTGAAAACTAATAGAGAATAAGACATAACTATACCCACATCTGAAGAAATTTTGATTTACCTACCACCAACAGTACAAAAACTTGAAGCTTATATAAACGAGTACTGTAGATGACCATAACCATGGTTTCATGACGAAAATGAATAAGCATTCCGTGAATGCAAACTCAGGGTTACTTAATTCCAAGTAAGGTAGTCAGGGGATTTTTAGCAGTATACTGCTCATTACCACCATTTATTATATTAACAAAATGAATATATGACGCAAAAGTCATTACGTAGGTATCAAACAATAAATCTCAGAATACAAGATAAGAAACGGAAAATGGAAAGGGAAAATTCAAACCTCATCAACTAACTACAAATCACACAACATAAGTTTGTTAAGAGTAACGAACTCTCTAAAACAGGAGTGATATCAAGAAAATCCTTCTTGAAAACTTGCTGGAAAACATTTGAATCAGAAAGAATAAATTTCGCAATAATAAATAATGTTAGAGGAGGGGTAATAAGCTTTACTGTTTCTTACTTGTGACAATACGATCAACTGTCGGTAGCTTTGGCTCCGATCGCATCATTAGTATGAGTTAAAATATTTGTGAAATTCCGTTGAAAATGAAGAGAAGCAATCAGTCACAGAACAGATATAATGAGCGATAAGTGCGCCAAGTTTCGTAATGATCGCAAAAACTGAAATGGCCTTCAAAGTTATCCTTTAAAACAATTTCTAAAAAGTTCACCATCCAATATCTTTATGAGGGGCCTTAATAAAGATGCTCATTTCTTAGTGAAATCTTTCCAGTGTCCTGGAATGGTTATAGTTCTTCAGGGTGTTCCAGTGCAGAAGATTTATCCCCACGGATGGTATAGCTGAGAATCAAGGATTGGATTGTTATGTACTGTTTATACCATCAGTCATTTTTCTCCCGGCAGCTCTCTAAGTTAATAAAGAAAAATCTGGTGTGGGGATACAGGCTGTCTCCAGGTGTTATCGCGCAATGCCATCGGTTACCGCGCTCACGGCAACAGACGTTATAATCGCCTATTTTTTTGGAAATAGATAATATTTCACTAGTTTTAGACTTCTGTAGCCGGATGGCAGTAATTTGCTGTATTTTGTTCTTAGTAGAGCGTAAAATTGTATATTATAGCTCGGACGAATTATCAATGAAGAAGTCATCCTTTTTAAGAAAGTTCGCATAGAAAGACTACTATTTGCATTATAGTGCGTTGAGGGTTTGTTTTTTTGCGAGTTGTTTCAGATCTTAAGGTTGTAAATATACTGCAGTCAATGGCTGTTGTCATTCCAGTGAATCTATTAGAATCTGGCCTATGAAAGAGAAATAGCATGCAGACATAGGTTAGATGTGTGCTTTGAACATGTTAAACTTTTCTGTTATCATCCGGGATGACTGAAATATTCCATAACACATCGACGACATTATGCGATGAAGTTCCTAGTTAAAAGTGCTTGGGCGAAGATGTGAAAATAGTTTAATTGACATTTGCACATGGAATTTCACAAGGCCTTAATTGCTCAGTGCATGAAATGGCATCAGAGTATATTGACATCAGTGTTCATTGTGTCTGGAAGAATAGTATAAATAGTCCTTCTCAAATGTCAGAGTACTTAAAATTAGTACCAGATTTCTGTCGATTAGTAGCTAGCGGCTGTGTCATACAACTACTACACCTGTTACATAGGTTATATCAATCTTAAAAATTAGTTAGCTTCACATCACTAAGATAATCTGAGATCCTTAATGACTTAATTGTGACTATGAAAGATGTAGAAGATGAACTTATGGCTGATATATTTAAAGCAGTTATTATTAAACAAGTTATCTGTAAGCAACTTGTGATGTTCTGAATACTGCAAACTGTTGATAAGAAACTGCATCAAAGGAAAAAATGCTGAACAGCTAGAAAATACTACTGCAGTTTCGTTGGTTGTTACCTTTTGCATTTGTAAGTCATCCTTCAAAAGCTCAGATTAACAGCAAACCATCCATGGTACCTCACAGGCCCTATAGAAATTTGTGAGAGACCTTACATGTCAGGTTGTCTTCCAAATTGTAAGGTTGCAGATCTTTCAATTTACCTCTCACTGAAATATCACTTATCTACTTCACTATGGTCTTTTCATTTGTGCACTATTACACTTCATTTTATGTTAACTGGATATGCCTTTATTAAAGCTGAGACTTACTCTTTGTGCCTATTAGTTGCTTGCTTACAGTCTATTTGCTTTTATTAGAAACATAACAACACCAGTGTTTGAACAAAGCTGTATTTTCATGGAAAACGTCATATTTTCTATGTTTACACCAATATGGTTGGCATTAAACATTGCAAATGTATACTCACATTCCAAGGACATAGCACTTAGCCAAATGTACGGTGTTCATTGTTAAGGGTTTACAATTTAACTCTTATAATTTATGATACTTCACGATTGCAGTTTATAACATAACTTATTGCGCCTGTAGAAATGACATGCATTCTTTGTAAACATTGGTTTATACGAAATATGAAATTATTACTATATGCTTGCTGCTATCCTTTAGAAGAGGAATAATGTGTGTGGCAGTGAAAACCCCAGAAGAATGATGTCATGACCAAAGAATGAGAAAGGATAATGAACCATTTTCAGCAAAGGTAGGCAGATATAAAGCGTTTAACTTTGATATTACTTCTTTCTTACTTCAGCTATTTAAAAAACACTTTGTTTACTTATTCGTAGATATCCGGTAACGTCAGTCACCCCAGTCACAGAGATTCGACATTGCCCAAATTATTACGACCAACGACTGCGTAAAGACATTTGCTTGTTATTATTTTTCATTAAATACATTTAATATCTTGCTTACCAGACCTTTCTTATTATATCTGAGTGTAGATATATTTGTCATGCTGACTACATGCAGACATGACTTATTAATAAGAACTGACGAAGTAATTGGTTGCATATTTTAGTGTAAGCTAAATCTAAATACGATTGCTAAAGCTAAACGAATTCAATAATTCGTCTGGTGTAGACTTTAATTTACGCTACATGTTAACAGCCTTAGTCATATGGAATGACATCACGCTTTAAGTGAAACATTAGTAATGCAATACTTTAGAATACACGTAACCGTATAAGAACTGGAACTCGAATGCAGTGCCTAAGTTATGCCTACTATTGTCATTTGGCCCTAAAGACTTCTATATGACTATGACGCATGACGACCGACATCGTTCCTACGCAATTACACTTACGTATAGTTAAAGTCCTAGAGAGCACCGGTCTAGCATGCCGTGCTCAATAAGGGAACACATGAATCGAAAGACAACAAGATTGACATGAAAATTGTATTTTAATTATGATACAAATTCAGTTTATTTACATATTCAGAGTACGATTGATTCCTGCGACTACTTCTACTACATAATTCCTGGCAAACACTTCTCCAAATTCGTCATGAATTTTCCTCAAGCCCTTGCTCACAATACTTATATAGCTTTCGAATGCGGCACTTCGATTTCGAGGGACAACAGCTGACGTGCATTGAGATGCGAACAAGTTGCGTGACCACGCCCATTGTTTGCAATTCTGCATCACATGGTTAACTACAAAAGGTGAAACAAAAAACGTAAAGATAACTAAGAACTGAATGTTACACGTGCAATGATGGTAGTGCTTGTGTCTTGTTTCCAATTAAGGCAATGTACACACGAATAGGTTAATAAAAATTACAACTTTCCGTATATAAGAACATTAATTAATTAAATTTCGGTCGACATAAATTAAAAACGGAGTCATAAAAACGCAAATATACCTGTGAAATACGGCTTTCTGAAATGGACCAAAAGCAAGTGTCGGCAGGGGTACCGACAGGTCTGAAATGTAAAGCACGTGCAGGTGCAAGCACTCAGATCAACCTCCACTGTATTCCCATTTTCTTTGAAGAATACATAATCAAAGGATTCAAACTCAACAATAGCCCATCGTCGCCATTGGTATTCACGTATTACCTTCCTCGCGGCGTATGGCGTCAGCAATCGTATAATTGGGATTAGACGTTGTGAACAGTGATAAGTGAAGCATCGCGACTGAGCAATAATCGCCTCCTGCTGTATTCTTGAAAAACTTCGTTCATACCATTTATACACCTTTAGCATACTTTTATGCAGACTATCAGATCTTTGCAAATACCGTTTCATTTGCTTGTGGGAGCTCTCGACGCGATTATTGGTATCATTCCCAAAAGTCAGCACGTTGTCTCTGAAACATGCTGCCCACAATTCTCGTCTATGCATCCAACGACGTTGTAGATATTGACTGACAGTAGCATCCAATCTGCTAATGACTCTGAAATAGAAATTAAATCTAGAAAATGAGAACATTAGGGGCATTACTCTGATCTCCTTTTACACTGCACTAGACGGCATAAGTAGTTCTTTACAATGGGATTTCTTGTCTACGAATAAAATGTAAAGTGTGCTTTGAAAAACTTACTTTACGACAGAAGGCTCTGCAAACATGGAAAGAACACAAAACAATGTGCGCTTGTCTGTGCGTTAACTTGACGGCTGCTATTTCAGCTTGCGCACAATCCATAATGAAGGATTCTGTTTTTGAGGTGTCTTCCATTATTTGACGGAAACAGTCTAATATCCAAACTACATCTCGTTTGAATTCTTTTCTAGTCCACGCAAATAAAACTGGTCGTCCACGACCAAAATTATCCGTCACAAGTAATTGGAACAATGAATACCTGCACGTTGATTAATGAATTGGTAAACTTACTTCCCTTTATTTGTATTATACGTCGAGTCGATACCAACAACTTCAGGGAACTGTTTATACAATTCCATTTGCTCATCAGTTGCAAAACAAATTCTTGTTAGTGAATTCCTGATCGGTTCATCGGAATAATACTCCATTAACTTCCCACGGGATTTTAGGAATTCAAAAATGTCACGACGACTCGAAATACCTTAAGTATGTAACAAGTACGTCAACGTTACCTTTATTCACTGCGGCTTTCATATTTTTAACGTCAATGCGAGTTATATCCTTGTGGTACTTCTCCTTAACATGCATTATTATTTCATCGGATGAGTGGGATTGCTGAAGAAGTGGTTCCACATTTTCTTTCTCTTCAACTGTTAGTCGTCTATACCATGGGTCATTCTGCATGTACACCCTGCTGCATGGATGGTTATGCACCATATTGTGGGAAGCAATTATGTATTCACTATAATGCAAAACCACGCGAAATGAAGACGAGCAATTGCAACATTTAGACCTGAAATATTCATGAAATCATATTACACTTCTTCTTACGACTTGTTTTTCAATTTCAATCCAGGTCTTGTACGATTCACTCCAAAAGTGCATTTAAAACCAACAAAAGCGTACTTAAACCTGTCATCCGGTATCGTTTTGCTATAAGTATGAACATAGTGAGTGTAGGATAACTACACTGTTAGCATTAAATGACTTCCTCACTTTTTGAAATTCTGCTAATGACTTCTCAAATTCATCCCAGCTCAAGAAACGCCTTCCAAGTATGTATTCAGCAAAAATTCC